AGAATCTCTTTGAAAATATTAAACCGTTGCCTATTAGCTCAAATGGTAGAGTGGTATGTACTACAGATGTGGGTTCGAATCCTGCATAGGCAAAATATTTCTCAAATTTGTATTATACTTGTTTAAAATAAAGTTTATTCTCATCAAATACAAATTACTCAAAAGCCATTATTCATTAATCTACAAACTATTAGAATAAATTTTCAAAAAAACCTTAAAACGCAAATTATAGTACATATATTTACAATTACAGTACATTCATAAATCTTACTTTCTTTACTTTGAAATGTGAGAAGATAATATCGAAATTTTGTATTCAATATTGGTGTCATTGGATAGATCTCAACGAGATATTTCCAACGACATATAATTTGTCAAGGTTGTATTTCTCTACAAAAAAGTTATGTACGAAATAGACAATGCAATAGAAAAACAAACTAAAATGAAATTATTATAATATAATATATACACGAGAAGGGTGGATTGCGGCTCATTAAATAAGTATTGTGCATTTACCTTCCTGCCCTCCGTAAACAAATTGAGCCTAATTTTATGGATTGCATTTATTGACTTCCTTTTTAAATTGTGGTGTTTAATGAATTTGTTTTTTTCTTATAGCCGCACGATCATTCTAATCCAACGCCTATCCTTCATTCTTATTTCTTTCATTGTGGGTCATTCTCACTGGAACCCACCCATATATATATATATATATATATATATATATATATATATATATATATATTCTCTACATATATGTTTGTATTAATTGTATGCCCTAAAAATTATTCATTCAAAAAATGATGAGAATAGTGACATAATTGCTCTTAGAGCATCTCCAACCATGCTTGTTATATAAATTTGCTATTTTTACATTATAGCAAGCAAATAGTGATATAACAATCACTTTTTAGTTTCATTCTCCAACCATAATTTGCTATTTTATTTTTTAAGTATTGGCTTGCTAAAGTTTGAGGGGTTTGTCATATTTAACAAGCCAAAGTTATTTTTTAGCAAACTTGCTAAAATAAAGCACACCACTTGGAGAAGAACAAAAGTGCTTAGCTAGCTACTCCGTATATTATAAATATTAGCAAGTTAAAATGCTATGGTTGGAGATGCTCTTAATGATGAAAATAGTGGCATTATTGGATATATTTATTTTTAAAAAAATTGGATGGTAGCCATAGTAAGAAGAAGACAAAAGGAACAGTGAAAGTCATGGATACAATTGCAAGGCATTAATGTTTAAAGGAAGAAAGTACTACTTCTATTGCACTTCCAGATGCAAAATTTGCATGCATTTGATTAAAATGCCTCTCTTTTCCTCCTTTCATATTTTCTTTCCTTTTCACTATTGTGAGAGATTTAAGTAATGGTGAGATTTAAATAAGAATCCACACTTCCACATATAAGTATCATATATCACATCACACTGCAATCTCTCGCCACTGGAAAGTCATCGGAGCGCAAGTGTTGTCGGAGCTTCATCACTTTTACCGGTCGCCAAGGTTGCCTATCGTTGACCAATAGTCGACAACCACTCTTTCACCACAATTCACCATCACATTACTACTACATACACTGCTACATTACCTCCACACGTATAGTAATATCACTGGGCTACTACTTAGAAATCAAAACTATGTCGATTTTATTTTGATATTCTCATATATCTAAAAAAAGTTAAGGATATATGTGTTCCTTTTAATTTTAATTTTTACTGTTACTCATGAGGCATTTTGACTACCAATGAGACATTTTGACTACCATACATAAACAAATGTTATAAAAATTTGGTATATCAAAAGTAAATGTTAAAATGAACATAATTATATATATTCTCCCCGTCTCTTAAAACGCTTCCTGTTTTCTTTTTTGCGCATCTCATAAAACGCTTCCACACTATTTAAAGTATCTAAAAGACTAAAAAACAACCCTAAAATTACTTCTACCCATAGTAAAGGGTAAAAAAATATGATGAATATTAGACGTTATAGATATGCATAGAAGTGTATTTGGAGATGGGAAAATATGAAACAGATTCAGGTACTGTTGATTTGCCTGTGGGGATTGGAGAGAATCTGGCCAAATTGAAAACATACGTAATTCGTCAAAAAGAAAAAGAGAAGTGAAAAAATCCACCAAAGTTTGCACTGTTGATTTGCCATGCATATATGGAGTGTACCAATATACCATAGCTCTCTTGGTGACTTGGTGTGTCTCGCTCTCCATCCATTTAGGAAAATAATTTTTCTATTGACTTCGAAAAAAAATACTCCGTAAATAAAGAAGGGTTATTAAAATTAAAATTACTTTTTATGTTTACCTTTGATTTGATGAATAAGAGCTTATTCTTGTGGATTGAAAAAAAAGAGCTGGAAAGAACTGGAAAGATTTGGAAGAACTGGAAGA